GAATTAACTTTGCCAAAGATGTAAAGGATCTATTTCATGAAAACTATAAAAGCCTAAAAAAAAAGAATCATAGAGGATACCAGGAAATGAAAGATCTCCCATGTTCCTGGATAGGCAGAATTAACATAGTGAAAATGGCTATAGTGCCAAAATTGACATACACATTCAATGCAATTCCCATTAAAATCCCAATGACATGCTTTACTGAAATAGAGAAAACAGTCCAAAAGTTCATATGGAAGAACAAAAGACCTAGAATTCTAGGCAAAAGAAACAACACAGGAGGGATCACAATACTGGATTTCAAGCTCTACTATAGAGCCATAATAACAAAGACAGCTTGGTACTGGTACAAAAATAGATCCAAAGACCAATGGAACAGACTAGAGGACCCAGAAATAAATCCACATATGTACAGTCAGTTGATATTTGACAAGGGAGCCAAAGACATAGTGGAAGAATCATAACCTCTTCAACTATTGGTGCTGGGAAAACTGGGTGACCACATGCAGAAAAATGAAAGTGGGCCCTAGCCTATCACCATGAACTAACATCAACTCAAAATTAAAGACCTTAATATCAAACCTGATATTCTGAAACTACTGCGGGACAGAGTAGGAAAGACACTTGAACTTAAAGGCACAGACAGGAACTTCCTGAACAGAGTCCTAGGATCACAACAAATTGGAGAGAGACTTGACAAATGGGACTACCTTAAAATAAAAAGTTTCTGCACAGACAAAGAAATAGCAACCAAACTAGAAAGACAACCAACTAATAATTGGGAAAAAATATTTACCAGCAAAATATCAGACAAGAGTCTAATATCCGTTATATACAGGGAACTCTAGAAACTAACCCCTCAAAAATCTAACAAACAAATCATGAAATGGGCAAGGGAACTAAAGAGAGCCTTCTCAGAAGAAGAGATAAAAATGACAAAGAAACACATAAGGAAATGTTCATCATCCCTGTCTGTAAAGGAAATGCAAATGAAAACAACACTGAGATACCACCTTACTCCAGTCAGAATGGCTCACATCCTAAAGTCAGCCAACGACAAATGCTGGAGGGGATGTGGAGAAAGAGGAACCCTACTGCATTGCTGGTGGGAATGTATACTAATACAACCATTTTGGAAAGCAGTCTGGAGATACCTAAGAAAGCTAAATATAGACCTCCCCTATGACCCAGCCATACCACTCCTAGGCATCTACCCTGAGCAACAGGAACCAGTATACCAAGACACATGCACCTCCATATTTATTGCAGCACTGTTCACAAGAGCCAATATTTGGAAACCACCCAGAAGCCCCACTATTGATGAGTGGATCCAAAAATTGTTGTACCTATATACAATGGAATATTATGCAGCCATTAGAAAGGACAAAATAATGGCATTTGCAGGGAAATGGATGGAACTAGAGCAGATTATCTTGAGCAAAGTAAGCCGAGAACAAACAGACAAATAGCACATGGTCTCCCTGATATGTGGATGCTAAAGCCAAAATACAGGAAGATATGGCAAACAGGACTCAAGAAACAAAGGACAGCCAACCATTTTGTCATATCATTGCTAAATGATTCCATGTTCTGGACCATATATATGGTAGATATATGCATACAACAGAGGAAAGACAGGAAGAGGAACAGCATAAGTGGGAATAGCCCACACTAAGCAAAAGGAAAGAAATGTAAACATCACCTGATGTGGAAAAAATAACTTGTAATATCAAAGCTCATAGAATTCACAAACTTTATAGACCATGATAATGACAATTTGCCTTGTGAAAATGAAAATGTGTTTGTGACTCTAGGTATCACTATTCCACAATATGTGAAATATGTGAAATTTATGTAATCACCTAATCTCAATTAAAGACAAAAAGAGAGAGAAGGGGATGGGTTAAGAGAGATGGGTAACAATTTGTCAGACACTTTGTCCTCATATACTGTTTTGTAGAATGGGAACTTCTTTGTACAACTACTTAAAGATAATTTAAAAAATAATAAAAAAGAAGTTCCTACAGCTGCCGCTTTAGAATCTCTTATGTGGTGGCAGCATCATGTGTTTCCAGCCAGCTATTTATTTCTATTATAACTCTATTTGTGATCAAATCAAATTTATTACCTACAGTATCTTTTTTCAAATCTGAGGTTTCATCATTTGTCAGCAATTCTGTTTTGATGGCCTAGTTTTTTACAATGTCAAGTGGGTTATCCTTGAGAAACATGGAGGTTAAAACACCTGCAAGCTTTGATGTCTGCATCACTGAGTAACAGATGCCAACAGACATTGGAAGAAGTGAGATGATCATCTGTAATTTATGAACTGAGTAGCTAGTGATCATAATTGTTATTTTACACAACTACTCACATATAACATGATATGAATTTTGAGTCAGGTTATTACAAGACCACTGTCATTTAATTAAAACAGAAATTAATAGTTGTCCATATAGGGCCATAAAAAGTGAAGAATGCCTCAGTATACTGTGAGTGGACACATTATTTCTCTGGATTCCTTGGTGTTAGTTTTCAGGAACCTCTTCTATAAATTCAACAAATGTGTGTTAAGTAATTTAAAAAAATTGCATAATTGCCATCTATGTAGATGATTTTCAGATTAAGATTATACTATACTATGAACTAGACAAATCATGTAGTCAAAGCAAGAGGAGGTATGGCTCAAGTAGGAGATTGTCAGCCATTAATGGAAAAGTCAAGCAGAACACAGGGCCCTGAGTTCAAGTCTCACTGCTGGCATATACACATGCACACGCACACACACAAATCAGTGGAACATAAGATAGTTTAAGAAAAGTACACTTCAAATGATTTCCCTTTGTTTTAGTCATTTAACTTTGCTTCTTTGCATCTATGCATTGCCTTGGTTGACACTCTTTTTTGTGTTCAGAGTATGGTTCAAGTTGGATCAAATATTATTCATATGTTATATCCTAAAATGAACTTTTTACAATTCTGAAATGATCATTTTAAAGGCCTATTTACCTTGTTTCACTGAAGTCTAGTTGAATGTATAGGAATAGAACTTATATAAGGGAGACCTTAGACTTCTTGGAGTAGCAACAAATTATAAGCACTATCTAGTAAAATGTCTCATTAACTGATTTCAGAAATACAATGCACTTTTCCATACTCCCCATACACAGGAGACAGTAAAGCAAATTGGTTTAATAATCTTGGACAGGTATTCATTGCTTTTGTAAACATTTTGTAAATCTCAACAAATCAACTAAACATGATAGTATTTACTTGGTAATAGTCACTGAGCTCTAGTGACTGATTTTAATGGTTAACTACCTCATATTATAAACTAAATATAATTAAAATTTAGGTAAAAGATGAAACCTAGCTCCGAGGAAGACAAAGAAGGCTGAGCTAGCTAAGAAAGATAACAAGAATTATGTAGTGAAGAAGAAACAATGATGGTTCTTACATAAACGATAGATTAAATAGCATGAAAAAAAGAAAAAGAGAATGAATTTTTTGGAAGAGCTGGGGCTAGATAGGCAATCAAAAGTAAAATTCAGAACTTTATCATAGCAGTAAGATACAGCCAAGGAAGAACTTTAGGAGAATAGTATACTCCGATTTATATTTTAGGGAGATTATTTCAGTAATTGCTGTGAATAGATGGGAAATGGAGACAAGAAAGGAAGCTTAGGGTAAAAGACAACTGCCTTTTATTTAAGTTGGCAACAAGGTGAATCAGATGGAAGACTCTAGAAGCTTCTACTTTTATAGAAATTGCAGGTGACTCAGAAATTCTGTCGTGAATAAGTGAATGAGTTACATTAAATAAGATAGACTATAATGTGTATGGGGAGGTCAAGTTAAGAGGGAGAAGATGGAAATTTCAGTTTAGAAACATTTATACCTTGTTGGAGAGGGGAATGGGGGGGTAAGTGGGAGATAATGAGGGATAAGGTAACAATGATTAAAAATAAATGTACTCATTATCTTACTTAAGTAACTGTAACCCATCTGATCATCACCTTTTCAATAAAAAGAGAAAAATTTACACTTTGAAAGGGATGTAAGTCATGGAATGAAATTTCTTGATGACAATTAAAAGTGAATCATTATAGCTGGGGTCTTGTTCTTTGGATGACTGATGTGATACTTCTTATGAATAAATGAGCAGGGTAGGGAGGAACAGGAAATAGCAATACTATCTACCCAACACAAGGAAGCAACCAGTAGGGTCTTTGGAGATAGTGACCCACTATAAAAGGACAGACTAATGGAGAATTTTAATGTCTAAGCCAAAGAATATAAATAGCACCAGTACAGTTATGTATCTAATCCCAAAAGCCAGGGATGGAAGTCAGGTTCAGGATACCAAAGATGGCAGATCTCTCAAACTGTTACACTTCAGTGTTGATGGCTAACTCAGAGTCATAACAATGCATAGGAACATGGTGGAAGCCAAGAGCCAAAGGTTCATGCCTATAATATTAGCTACTCAGCTCTTCAGAGATCTGAGACACAAAAGTTGAAGCCATCCTTATCAGAGAAATATGTGAGACTCTGATCTTCAATAAACTACTCAAAAAATGTCAAACAAAAAAAAATTGGAAGTGCAGCTGTGTCTCAAGTGGTAAAGCACTAGCCTTGAGCAAAAGAAGTTCAGGGACAGTACCCAGATACCGAGTTCAAGCCCCAGGACCAGCACACACACACACACACACACACACACACACAATGATAATAATAATTACTATTACCCCATTATCATTATAATTATAAAGAGGGCTAAAGGATATTGTAAATAACACTGTGACAGTGGCTGAAAGAGGTACCAGGAATAGAGGAGTAGCATATATCCTAGAATGTGTACAGGCCATCAACTGCCAGCTGCTAGCGCACTTTATCCTGATCACATGTCAAATATCACATACAAAAAACTATCATCCGTCCTTCTACATTTTCCAAAATGTAAACAGGAAAAATGATTAAAAACATTTTCAACTTACATGGAAGAATATCTCGATATCTGTTTTTTTCTTTGTTATGTGGATCAATCCCAGAGGTGAACTCACCAGGCAGAACTATATGTTCTAACTCCTTTAAAAGGTAAAATAAATAAATACATGCATACTACATACATATATAAATACATAAATCATGTATTTACTATAATCAAAAAGAGGAAAATCTGTTTAGCATTTTTGATCCTTTAATGCCTACATGACATGACTATTAAATGTGTTATATAATAAAGCTGAGAAATCCAAATCTGATTTTAAAACTATGTAAAACATCTCAAGTTAGATATGGCAACCAGTGACTTTCTTGGTAAGAAAATATTAAGCTCGCTGAAGATATGTTTCCTCCTGAACATCACTATTTTTCCTTTTTCACATAAAATGAATTATGGAATATGTAGGTATTGGGATCTAATCATAAATATATCAGTACATAAATAAAAACAAAACTGCAACAAAAATATATAAACAAAAACCATAAATGGTCTTATCATTTAGTCTCTAGTGAAATTATTACTTCGACACCAGTCTAAGAATTCATCTTCTCAAAAAAAATTTTATTGTGCCAGGTGCCAGTGGCTCACACCTGTAATGCTAGCTACTCAGAGGCTGAGAATGAGAAGCCTGGCCTGGCCAAAGTGCAACCATTTTGGATATTAAGGTCATTTTGTGTTTTTGTTTTTGTTTTTGTCAGTCGTGGGGCTTGAACTCTGGGCCTGAGTGCTGTCCCTCAGCTCTTCAGCTCAAGGCTAGTGCTCTACCACTTGAGCTACAGTGCCACTTCCGGTTTTCTGGTGGTTTATTGGAGACTCACGGTCTTTCCTGCCCGGGCTGGCTTTGAACCGAGATCCTCAGATCTCAGCCTCCTGAGTAGCTAGGATTACAGGTGTGAGCCACCAGTGCCTGGCTAATACTTTCAGGACACAGCTTTTACCGACATATGAGCCCAGGTTCCTGGAAAAACCACATGACCAAATCGCTCTGACCAATAACTCCCTAGCAACAGTCAATCAGTAACTAGCAGGAAAGTAAAGCTCCAGATATGTAAGATAGCATAGTTAACATATTTTGGTGCTTAACTGCTTAGCCCATGCACTTTAGCCAATAAGATTGTTACAAGACTTACTTACTAAATGTTAACCAATCATGTAATCGCTAAGTTGGAAACCCTCTACCCTTGCTGTAACCACAATAAAAACCCTGCTAAACTGGAAGTCGGGGCTCTCAACTCTGATTGGCTGCATCAATGACAGTTGTGAGTCCAGATTTGAGCTTGCAATAAACGACTCTTGTGTGCTTGCATCAGAATCGGCTCCTTGGTGGTGTTTAAGGATCCTTATCTGGGTCCAACATCTTGGGGGCTCGTCCGGGATCCCCCAGACCCCAGGGCCCGTGAACCAGAGTCAGACCCTGATTAGTGAGTCTTATTGTCTGCTTTTTGTGCTTTTGTCTGCTTATATTTGTTCTGGGGCCCAAAAGTAAGTAGGGATGGCATAAGGCCTAAGAGGATGCCCTGGAGGGTTGTCCACCAGGGGCCTTCTATAGGTACAAGCAATCTCCTCAATTCTGGAGGAATGTGGAATCCCCTCAATCCTGTCAGGCTGGAATGGGATAAGGCCGACGTCCTACTTTCAGTTTTGCCTCCGGTTGACAGGCAGAATTTTCTGTCTGTCTTTTTGTGTGTTGGCTTTGCTTCTGTGTATGTCAGTTGCTTTTTATTTTTGTGTGACAGATGATATGGGACAGACTCAAACCACACCCCTTTCCCTTCTGACTGACAATTTTTAAAGATGTTAAAGGAAGACCCTACAATCTGAGTGTTAAATTTTTTAAAAAAAGAAAAGCTAATCACTTTTTGCAGATCAGAATGGCCCCCCTTTGGGATGGGATGGCCAGCTGAAGGAACTTTTGAATTATAAATTATAATTTTTTAAATAATTTCCTTCCAGGACCACATGGCCACCTGGACCAGATCCCATACATCCTGGTTGGTAAGACTTAGTGGAAAAACCCTCCTTCCTGGCTAACACACATTTTGCCTCTACAGGAACATCGGCTAAAGAAAATTCTTTCAGTTCAAGACCAACCCCCTAAACCAGGGCACACTGAAACCAAACCCTGGGCGCCTCTCTACCCCCCTGTTCTACAGGGCGATGCCAAGGAAGAACTGGTTTTTCCTCCCACTTATCAGCCACCAACAGTACCAGGAAATGCCACTGCCTGATGAGGGAGGGGCAGTGGCAGCTGTAGAAGGACCAGCAGCAGGAACTCGGAGGAGGGCAAACAGGGCTGTTCCCCCTGCCTCTCAGGGGCCTACAAATTCGACTGTCATACTTCCCTTGCAGGCCGCTACTCCCCCTCCACCCATAACCATGCCAGGCTTCCCGACCACTTTACAGTGAGAGAGGCTTGCTCTGTTTTAGAATTGGTACCAGTTTTATATGTGGATCCTTGTTTTTTGTGTATATTTGTGTTTTTATTATTTATTTGACCATCTCTGGGGGAATAAAAGTTTCAGCCTCTGGCTGGACCTTCTCACAAAACTGCTATGTCCCCCTCCCTGTGGGGCATGGGAGGCTGCTGGACTAGTTTGGTCCTCTTCAAGTCTCAGGCTGCATTTTCTCCTTGTGGAGGCTGCCAGAGGGGAGGGTGTAGAAGGCTGTGTGCCTGGTTTGGACTTTTCAGCTGTGCCTGACAATGTAACATTTTGTAAAGAACTCTTGTCTAAAATTGGGTAAAAAAAATTGGGCCAGTTTCAGGAGCCCCCCCAACCCAGCCTTCCTCCAACTGAAGGTACTCAAAAGACCAACTGGTGAAATGCCTTGCTAAACAAGCAAGCCCTGGGAAAATGAAGCTCAACAAAGGTAGGAAGAAAGAAAGAAAGAAAGAAAGAAAGAAAGAAAGAAAGAAAGAAAGAAAGAAAGAAAGAAAGAAAGAAAGAAAGAAAGAAAGAAAGAAAGAAAG